CCCTACTAATGTAATTCAAATATTTTTCCATAGTCTGAATTTAGAAAATGTAGGCACTTATAAATATAAACAATATAATATCATTATGTTGGAAAACTGCATATTTCTTGATAATTTCAAGGGGATTGCACTAAATTAGAAACAGTTATGAATATGTTGTTTGTGACAATGAGTTTTATATTTTCATTTATCTCACAACTGCAAAAATCTTGGCAAACATGTAGAGTTTTATGGGAGTATAGCTTCCAATTCAGAAAAATCTCACTAAGAAAAGTACAGCCACAAACATATTGCAAGCATAATTTATGATATCAATACTAGAAAAAAAGATCTACATGCTGTTATATCACTTATTAATTTGGGGATAAGAGATGACTTTTAAAATGTAAGATTAACTCTTAATTCTACAAATATGTGAGACTCCTGATTTACCCAGAAAAGCTTTAAGAAAGGAATGGAGCAGTCTTAGGATCGGGAATAGGCATGGAGAGCTTTATTCATCTCCTTCAACTATGCATCTGTCATCAAGTGCAGGACAATTTCACAAGCTCTGTGCCCAAGTTGTCGTATGCTGAAATAGTCCCAGAGGCCATGTTTCATCTCAGGTGTGCATGCCCGCTATTTGGTTATAGGTTCCTTATTTCATTTATGAAGTCAGTACTCATGGAGATCCATTCACTGTTTTAGGGACTTTATATGCAGTTATATAAAAGCAAAGTTAATGTCCTCATGCAGGTTTTAAGGCAAATGAATAAGAATCATATGTGATAATTGCATTGACAAAAATAAGGCAGAGTAAAAAAGATAGAGACTACATGGCATTTGATTAGAAAGCTTGCTGAAATGAAAAAATCAATTATTTTACTTTCTGCACTATAAGTATTGCAAAAAGCAAGATAGCAAATGCAAAGGTCCTAAAAACATGTTTGCTGTGTTCAAGGATTTGATTCATCAGGTACACCTAAGATTAACTGTGCATTGGTACGAGCAGTTGGCATAATGACTATGTCGTTTGACTCCCATGTAGTCAACCGTCGTCGAAGTCCCGGACCCAGTGGCTTAAACTCATGCAGGGTGTGTGTACGTGTGTGCCCAAGATCCCAAGAGGAGAATGGAGAAGGGATTGTGGCATGGCCATCCCTCCTGGGGAGTGATTTTTCATTTTCTGTCTCTCTGCCTTCTCTTTCTGGCAAGTGCACACACCCTATAGCAAAAACCTCTCAAAAAAATAAAATTAATTAATTAATTATTTATTTTTTAAAAAAGATTAACTATGTGTCAGTACCTGCTATCTCCCCAGCCTGGAAATTCTTTTCCCCACTACTTTACCTCCTATTATTCACCCTTATGACACTGCATCTTTTTAAGCACATGTCCACCAATCCCTGAAACTCACTGAGACACCCTCTCCTCTCAGTTTCCACTGTCATTGTAACAACTTCTAGTTAAATATTTTCCTATGTTTGTGTTTTCTGTTCCTGTACCTGGCTACCTGTCTTTTCCACTTGACTATTTGGTGTTCAAAATAGGAACTTCCTGATTTTCGTCATTCTAGGGTCTAGTACTATGCTCAGAAGGTTACAACACTCAATGAAGAAAGATAACGATATTTGATTACAAAATTATTTTATAAAAATCTATTTTTTCCCCTAGGATTACAATTGGAAAATCTTCACTTAAGACACATCGTCAGGCAAAAGCAAATAAGTAGGCCCTTATCTGGGGGATATCTTTATGACATATTTTTAATCAACATTTTCCTGAGATTCTTAGTTGCAAAAATTATTTTCAAAAGAACTTAGGCAAAATTAAATGAATCTTTGCCAAAAATAAAACAAAACAAAAAAATTAAAGACCTAACTCACTAAAAATGCTTTCATATCAGAAGACAACAAATGACACTATATAGCAAAATATAAAAATATTAAAATCAAAAGAGAACTATTCTGCATTGCATTCATGGGAAATCACATTTTTATAAGAGTAATTATCAAACTAAAAGTTATTTTTCTAGATCTGGCATCTGTATTATTTAGCAGCATAAGAAAGCATGCACAAACATGAAAATTCTTACAAAAATAGATGTGTTATACAGTTATATCTCTTTTTGCCTGCATAGGCACAAGTAGAATTACACATATCATTGAGTTTTATAATTTATATATATCTCAAGGAGATATTTTATTTGGATTTTTAAAATTTGAAACATTATTGGGTTATATTGCTTTATTCCTGTGGGTATGAAAGATCATTTTGATACAGTACTGCCTGGTAGGCCCAAAATCAAACCAAGTACATGGTCATTGAACAAATAGCCACAGTATTTTTGGATTTTGTGTAAGTTTATTCTCCAGTGTTCTTTTCCCATTTGACAGTGTATTGTCAGTCGATTAGCTGCACATTGACGCTCTGTATAGGCTGACTACTGCTGTTCCCCAGCTTTTCCTTCTTTCCAGAACAGTGTCCACCTAACTGAGTCATCCCCTTCTCCCAGTTGTGCGTTTTTCTCTATCTGATTCTCTTAACTCTAACAGAAATGAAGTTCAATGTTTTCTCTTACAGACACTTTGGTATGCACTAAGGTTACCCACAGATGAAAAAACATGGCCCACACCATCAATAAACTTAAGTTCTAATGATGGGGGGGCACTCTCATTGAGTTAAGCATGTGAAAGATAATCTCAATACAATGTTGAAAATGTCATGAGGACACTCTGTGTAGAGTGCTGCAGTAATCTGAAGGAAGAGCCAGCTCTCGTTGGCAGGGTTTCCTGGGAAAAGGACCATCTGAGCTGAATCTGGGATTAAAACAGCATTTAGGCAAAGAATATTACTTAAGGGCAAAGACATATGCAAAGACACAGGAGAGTGAAAAGTAGTGTAGAATTAAGCAAGCCATATGTGTGATCAGAAATAGAGGTCTTCACATCTAGAGAAAATGTATCTCTAGAAGGAACTTTATTGATAACAAAGTTTCATTTTCATCTGTGTTAATCTATCTATATATCGGCACATGCACTCACTAGAGAGAGAGTGATAAAACACCTCCCGTGGCAATACTTTTTCTTTAATAGCTCCATGCTGTCAGAATTAGGGCACACATGAACATACACTGAGCGTGTTTTTCAAGCTGCCAGGACTGGAACTTGAATAGCAGTCAGCCCTATGGGATCTAGCTCTCCCACTGCATAGCACTTGAACAACTGCACTATGGGACTAGTCCAATGTTTGAAATCTTAACTATCCAAGGTTCTGGACATAGACTATTGATTCTAATATTGGCCTATTTTAGTTTAGAAACCCTTTCAACAGGAGTTAATCATTTCTGGTTTTATCTCTCTAAATGCCTCTCCTATGAAGATAATTTTATTTCCACAAAGAAACAGTATTTTAAAACATATTCTAAAAAATAAAAATAAAAAGGCAATATATGAAGAGATGTTTAGAGAACAACAAACAGAGTAGAACATGATGCTCCCTGGATAATTAGGCTTACTAGCTGAGTGACTTCAAATTTCGAGTTAGAGAGAAAAATAGTCCAAAATTGGTGTCTCAAAAAAACCAGTTTTGAAATATCATAAACACTTGGGGCAGCCCAAGAATAGTCAAATTTCAAATGGTAAATCCATAAGTGGCAGGGATTTAATATAAGTGACAACTCTCATATTCCTGGAGTCTCTCTAGATAGTGAGTGTTTCTCCCGTTACCTACTTAGGAGAGTTACTAAGTCTCTTAGCCTTCAGGA